GAACCCCCACACACACCCCGAGCCCCAACACACACCCTGAACCCCAACACACACCCCGAACCCCAACAATGAACCATGAACCCCAACACAGCCCCTGAACCCCAACAACCCACCTGAACCCCAACAACACACCCTGAACCCCAACAACCCACCCCGGGGGGTTCCCAGAGGGCTCCCGGGGATCCCAGGGGGGTCCTAGGGACTCTCAGGGGTCCCAGGGGTTTCCCAGGGGTTCCCATGTGGGGGGTCTCAGGGTTCCCAGGGGGTCTCAGGGTTCCCGGGGGGGTCTCAGGGATTCCAGGGAGTCCTGGGGGGTCCCAGGCGGTCCCAGGGGGGTTCCAAGGGGTTCCTGGGGGTCACAGGGGGTACCCAGGAGAATCCTGGGGTCCTGGGAGGATCCTGGGGGTCCAAGGGCATCCCAGGTCATTCCCAGGGGGTCCCAGGGGGTTCCTGGGGGTCCCAGGGGAGGTCCGGAGGGTCCCAGAGGGTTCCTGGAGGTCCCGGGGGTTCTTGGGGGTCCCAGTGGTTCCCAGAGGTCCCGGGGGGTTCCTGGGGGTCCCGGGGGTCCCAGGGGGTTCCCGGGGGTCCGCGGGGGTGCTCACGTGCGGGAAGGAGGCCGCCCACACGCGGAAGCGCAGCCGCAGGGTGGCCCGCTGCTGCCTGGCCAGCGTGCCCAGCGGGCAGCGCAGGCGGAAGCAGCCGCCCTCGGCGCACGACTGGGGACAGCGGCGTCACCCACGGCACCGGGACACCCGCACACCGGCCCCCCGCACACCGCGATACCGGGACACCGGCACCGGGACACCCGCACACCGGCCCCCCGCACACCGGCCCCCCGCACACCGCGATACCGGGACACCCAGACACCGGGACACCCGCACACCGGGACACCCGCACACCGGCACCCCCGCACACCGCGATACCGGCACACCCAGACACCGGGACACCCGCACACCGGCAACCCCACACACCACGGCACCGGGACACCGGCACCGGGACACCCGCACACCGGCCCCCCGCACACCGCGATACCGGGACACCGGCACCGGGACACCCGGACACCGGCACCCCCGCACACCGCGATACCGGCACACCCAGACACCGGGACACCCGCACACCGGCCCCCCGCACACCGGCACCCCCACACACCGTGATACCGGCACACCCAGACACCGGCACACTCGCACACCGGGACACCCAGACACCCGGACACTGGCACCAGGACACCCCGACACCCGGACACGCCAACACTGGGACACCAGCACACCCGCACACCGGGACACTCAGACACCCGGACACTGGCACCAGGACACCCAGACACCAGGGACACCGGGATACTGGGACACCAGGACATCGGGAACACCAGCACCGGGGACATTGGCACCGGGGACACTGGGACACCAGGATACCGGGACACCAAGACACTGTCACTGGGGACACCCCTGTCACCATGCACCTATGTCACCCATGTCACCATGCACCCATATCACTCATGTCACAATGCACCTATGTCACCCATGTCACCAGGTACCTATGTCAAGGGCACCCATGTCTCTGTGCACCTACGTCATCACCCATGTCACCACCTGACTACGTCACCCATGTCACCATGCACCATGTCCCCCCCAGCCCTGCCCCGCTGTCCCCCCCGTCCCCCCGTCCGGGGACACTGACCAGGACGTGGGCGCCGCCGGGGGGGCCGCCCCGCGTCACCTCCCGCCGCTGCACGTGGGGCCGCTCGGCGCCCTGCTCCAGCTGGGGACGTCACCAAGGGGGGGACGTCACCAAGGGGGGGACGTCACCCCCCGGGGACCGTCACCCCACAGGGACCGTCACCCCATGGGCACTGTCACCTCATGGGGACCGTCACTCCATAGGGATTGTCACCCCATGGGCACTGTCACCTCATGGGCGCTGTCACCCCATGGGCACTGTCACCTCATGGGGACCGTCACTCCATAGGGATCTTCACCCCATGGGCACTGTCACCCCATGGGCACTGTCACCCCATGGGCGCTGTCACCCCACGGGCGCTGTCACCCCATGGGCGCTGTCACCACCGCCCACAGGACCCTGCCACCAGCCACGGCCCCTCGGGGCCACCCAGGACCCGGTGCCACCCGCGTCTTGAGGCCACCCATCTTCCCCAGTGTCACCCCCCACCTCTCGGGGCCACCCGCCCCCCTCAGTGCCCCCCAGTGTCCTCCGTAACTCCCAGGGCCACCCACTGTCCCCAGGGCCACCCAGGGCCACCTCCCCAGGGCCGTCCCCATCACCCAGTGCCCCCCAAGGCCACCTTCACCCCCCAATACCCCCTGGTGTCCCCAGGGCCACCCCTCCATCCCAGAGCCACCCAGTGCCACCTGCCACGTCCCAATGTCACCCAGTGCCTCCCCTCGGGGTCACCCGGTGTCCCAGAGGGCCCCCCCTGTCCCCACCCCCCCTACACCCCAACATCCCCCAGTGCCACCTCCTGCTGTCACCGAGCGCCACCCCCCCGCCGCGGTCCCCAGCGCGGTGCCCACCCAGGGGGGCAGGGTGCCCACGGGGGGGCTGGCGGTGCAGTTGGGGGGTCCCGAGTGGCCGGTGACCAGGAGCAGGGGCCGCCCGCGGTGGCTCAGGGGACAGCGCAGCTCCAGGGTGCCCTGGCTGATGGTGCTGGGGCCCTCGTTCACCACCTGCGGGGACACGGGCACCGCTCGGGGACACGGGGACAGCGGCGGGGGACGCGCGGGCACCTCAGCCCCTGAGGGACGTGGGGACGCTGGCGGGGGACGTGGGCATCTGGGGAGGTGGGACAGGGGGACACGGACATCCTGGAGGTGGGACATGGGCACCCACGGGTGGGATATGGGCACCCTGGAGGTGGGACAGGGGGACATGGACATCCTGGAGGTGGGACATGGGCACCCACGGGTGGGATATGGGCACCCTGGAGGTGGGACAGGGGGACACGGACATCCAGGAGGTGGGACATGGGCACCTATAGGTGGGACATGGGGACATGGGCACCCATGGAGGCGGGACACAGGGATATGGACATCCCGGAGGTGGGACATGAGCACCCATGGGTGGGACATGGGGACATGGACATCCTGGAGGTGGGACATGGGCACCCATGGGTGGGACATGGGGACATGGACATCCCAGAGGTGGGACATGGACACGGGAGGACAGGAACACCAAGAGAGGGAGACGCAGTCCCCATGGGTGACATTCGTAGTGACAGGGGGCACGTGGGGACATGGACATTTCGGGGGTGACAGAGACACAGCCACGGTGGGACAGGGACGGGCACCGGGTTGGGGACAGGGACCCCATGGGCTTGGGGACAGGGACCCCCATGGGACTCCATGGGCTTGGGGACAGGGACCCCGTGGGCTTGGGGACAGGGACCCCCATGGACTTTAGGACACTGACCCCCATGGGATTAGGGACACGTCCCTCCCATGTCCCCCAGCCTCGGGGACACGTCCCCCCCGTCCTTGGGGACACGCGCCCCGGCCAGGTCCCCACCTCGTAGACGTGCTCCACCTCGGGCCCCACGTCCTGCTCCTGCCGGGCGCCCCCCGCGCCGGGCAGGGTGACGACCTCGGGCCGGGACACCCTGCGGGGGGGGACATGGGGGGCAGTTGGGGACACAGGGGGTAGTTGGGGACACGGGGGGTAGTTGGGGACACACAGGGG